AGAGTGGAAAAATACCATGGTTCCACCACTGAAGCAAAAAAAAAGCAAACATTGTAAAGCCTTTAGCCATCTGATACTTGAATATGGATGAATAACAACACTTGCTTTCACTGACCCTCATTTCTGTTACATGAAATACATAACTGGATCGAATGTCATGCTCCGTCATGTGTCTGCATCTCTATGAAAGCCTCAAAAAAAGATCATTCATTCATTATGTGCGTTGATAATTCCAGTGTATCCAAGGGATACCGCCGACAATGCATAATCATATTAATGGAAACCAGTATTAGTACTTCATCCAGGTAATGATATAGACTGCTATTCTTGGTAGAGCTTTTGGCTAAAGCAAGGTCAGTACTCAACACCTCCAACAGATTGTGTCTGAGGCACAATCTGGGTCCTTTAGGTTAATAATAGAGATGAAGGGAAAAAAAAAAACAAGAGATGTCGTAGAGGAATCTCCCATACACACTGCACTCAATAAAGATCAGGACAGGTTAACGAGGAAGGTTTTGCGTATGGCTGACGTCATTGTGATCCTGATCGAAACCCCCGATGGACAACTCATTTGTCGTTAAGGCAATAAGGACTGTCATCCTGAAAGGCTCTACAACTCTGAGGATTTGAAGACGATTAGACAGTTCTCAGGAGTAATTCCCTTTGTTGCACTTGTGAATCAAATGTTGTGTGTGTTTTTCTTTGTCCTCTTTTATCTCTAATACTATTTTCTTTCACATATTAGTTAATTTCATTCCTTCCGAGAAGCATCTCACAAAATTAAATACTAACAATAAATAAGCTGATATAAGCAGTTCAGTCCATCCAGACCAAATTTCTGCAGTAGCACAGGCCATATTTGTACTTTGGTTCCCAGATATTGATAAAAGCAGCCCACAACAGTACATGACTACCAAAATATCTCTCTCTGACCTGAATTCATGTTGGTATTTCTATCATTTAGTCTGGTGGGGATAAATGTGATAAAATGTGGCTAAAGACTGTATTTTTTAAGGACTGTGAATATCCTAGTACAGGGGTCGGCAACCTTTACCATCAAAATAGCAATGTGTGCGCCCTCTCCCACCAAATAAAATTTGTCTAGAGCCCCAAAGCATATTTGACCCTTAAAATGAAGATAACACAGCCTATAAAGCTTTATATGTAGTTATACTTTATATACAAAAACTATAGTTTATGTTAAATTTATTTATTTTTTACATTTTATTTATTTTCATTTATGAATAGATGCTCTGATATTTAAATGAACGATTCTTTCATGTACTCTCTGTCTGTGAAGGGCTTTCTACGCCTTTCTATCTCCTGAGCTGCCACAAAACTAACAGCAGTAGTTCAGTTTGGAGACTTGATCCACTTCTTGAAAGTATATTTGCTCTGCTCAGCTTTCCGCAGCAATTCTGAAATCGCTTTTTGTTTTTGTGTTGTTGTTGTTTTTTTGCTCATCTCCAGCTTGGTACTTTTCAGCATATGCTGTGTGCTTGTTCTGGAAATGTCTTTCAACATTACATTTTTTGTTGTTTGCTAATTTCTCGCCACATATCAAATTAAGTGAAAGCAAATTAATCCGTCCACCCAGAGTTAGACGCGCTATTTTCTTTTTTAGGATTTATCCATGGTTAGCTTACCTAGGGCGGGAGTCGGAAACTCAAGACTAGCCACCTGCAGGGAAGGGGGGGGGCATCCATGGCGCCAGGCCGTGGACGTAGCAGGATGTGACGTATATTTAAGTTGACGAATTATTATTTTTTTTTAATTTAAAGATTTTGTCTGAAATCACTTACTCATTCGCTCCTCCATAATCATTGTCCAGGGAGTTCAATGTAGACGACTATATAATGAGCTCATCGGTAAAACGAAAAAAAAACTTTCGGACACTACTAGGTAATTTTCTCCGCACCGTTTTCCGTTTTTAAACGCGAGCGCAATGCATGATGGTATATATTGCTTGATTAGTGACCATCGGTTGGTTGTACCAAAGATCCTCTATACAGTTGACAGTTCTTTTCACGATGCATTGTGGGATACTATAGTCCAGTCCACTATTTTGAAAAGTGCTGCAGCATGGTCAAATCAGTATTAACCAAAACACACAGATACAATTTGTACTTTAGCTTTAGGATGTCTGCAACAAATCTCAGTAATCAGATTTCTCTATAAAGAGAGTGAGCAACCACTGAGGAAACATAATTTGAGACATTAATAGTCCTGGGGTCCCACTAGGCTATTTGGATGCAAAGCATTGACGATACTGGACGATAAGGGACACTGCGAGTGAAATCTGACACAATTTAAACTTTGCACCAAGCAATAGACAGACAATACAGCAGCTAGTGAATGTAATGGAGCCAATAGAGCAGCAAACTGCTGAATGTAAGGAAGCCAATATAGTAGCTGGCTAGTGACCCAAATCTTTTTCTAAGGGGTTGACCGAAACCAAAACAGAGCAAAAGGAAAGTGAATATTAGGCTTGTTCATCAACAGTCACAGTCACAATATGACTTCAAATGAGTGCTAATGTCCCTCTGTGTCTGATTTGCTATCACTTCAGCCACAACAACTTTGTGAGGCAACATGTTGGATGTTGTGTTGTAGAATTATTCTGCTTCCAAGTGGCTAAAATCTCTTGGTGCAACTGTAAATAATAATTGTATTAATTTGAATATGGTGGGTATGCTTTGCCACAGGATCCCTCATGCATGTCATACATATTTGGACAATATATAAAATAATGATAATAATGAACAGTGACTTTCAGTATTAGACATAGTTTGGGCTCACTTAGGAAAATGCTTGTGTTTCTGAATGTACAGAAAAGCAAGACTTCAAAAGATTGTTGAAGCCATGAAGACACATTAGGTGTGAGGTGAAATTAATGTTAAATGTTGCAGCAAAGCACAGTGTATATATAAAATCAAGCCAGATGTTCCACTGTTATGGTGAATACAACAAAGACTACAACATCCCTAATGCATTATATTTTCTGCATTCAATTCAACAGATCAGGTATAAACAGATTAATAATTTATGAGTGTTTTGGAACCTGCACTGTTTACACTGTCTTCTCTATAGTTGGAACATTTGCTGCTTGCATTACTGCCCTCTGCAGTTTGTAGAAACGTGTCTCACATCACCCCTCAAGCTTGTGGGATGCCAGTCCAATGGAACAAGTGATACAAACAGCACTGTTGCAGCCAAACACTCCACACTCAACACAACAGTGATCTAAAACAATGAAATGTCCCTTTAACACTCACTGCAAACACGCAGGAAACAAATGCACACGTTTTTAATCGTCATATCATAACTTTTTAAAGGATAATATCTTAATGGAACTTGTAATGGTCACCATCAGTGTAAACACTGATAAAACCTTGCCCTGCAGAGACTAGAACTGTTGTCCACTGCATTATGGCAAAGTAAAGCTTTGTGAACCATGGCACAAGTGAAATTGTCTTTTTGATGTAACAATTTATGCTCCCCTGCTCTCTCTAAAAAGTCAGACTAGCCTACCTTGGGCAAAAAGAAAAGATACAATACCCTCTTGCTATCTGACCTCCTTTTTTACCACTGAATAATTTTCATATAGTCCCTTAGTCACGTAACACAGTTTGTGTTAGAGATTTGGCACAGATACATCTGCACATCATGATCGTGTATGCTTTAAAATTACCAGCGTGTATTTTCTAAACAAAAAGCAGAATGTTATCTGTCAAACTGATTCATCCAAAAAAATCAAACCTTAGTTTAAAAAAAATCCAAGATCCATCAGATTAATATTGATATGTTGTAATGTAAAAAGAATACCTTTGTGAAGCTTATAACAAATAATCCAGTACCCACAATGCTTTGCAAGGCATTCAGGGAACATAGTGAACATTTATCTTCATGCTGTAGCCTGCTCATTGCTGGCAGCGCACTTGTACTTAATATTAGTTCTCTCTCCTCTTGGATTACATTCCTGTCCCGTTTCTGTGCAACACTTTCAAACTTCACTCAAAAGCTCACAGCATTCAAAATATTACTGTACGTTTACATCTTTGATAATACTGTAGCCTATATAGCCCCATATTCCTGTGGGGTTGGGATAAGTGTGAAGCGCTCACAAGTGAATTTTCTTTATGGTCTTTTTTATGTAATATCTCAATTATATTCCCACTGGGACTTAAAGTGTGTTGATGGCACACACAGATACTCAGTGGTGAGTTTATGGCGACCTTATCGCACTTAATGGTATTTGTTTTAATCTCCTGAGGCATCACCATAACATTCTTACAGGCCCTTAATGCTGTGCTGTGTCTGCGCTGCTCAATAGTGAGTTTTCAGTGACCTTATCGCACTTTATGGGTTTTTTTATGTCCTGTAAGAGCCTGTCACTGGTGAAGGGGGGGGGGGGTGACTGGTTTGAGTGGTCTCGAAACGGACAGTCTGATATGTCAAACACAACACCAGGATATTATGACCATTACGTAACGCAAATTACGGAATACCCCACGGGCCAATTAAACGGATAATGATATTTTGTAACAATTTCAGTAATCTGTTCGCCTTGCATAACGCCAGGGCCTGGATGCGCTGCGAGCACAGATGCGCAGGCTGGCATATTGGTAGTGGATTGTAAACACGGGCTGCCTATAGGCCTCGGCTGCCTCAGATATTATTCTGATGGAGAAGAGCCACCTTCTCTCCCCGCCACCTGCAGAATGCGCAAGTCTATAACAGCCCACTGCAGCCCCGTTGCCTCTTGATTTATTGCACTGCACAAAACAGATAGCAGTGGGCTTTAGCAGAGAGATCTTTGCATATTTATGCAATGACAACGCCGACAGCAGAAAACCAGGTTGTCGTTGAAAAAGGCACAGAAAAAAAAAAATATGCACAGTGGCCTAGAAATGCATAACACACGGTGACAGCACCTCCGTATCGATTTAGATGAAGATGCACAAGCAGAAATTCAGTCATTCCGCTCATAGGGTGCTTACCTCCAGCGTTCGTATCTCTTTTTGTGTCAAGTCGTTGGATGTGGCACATTTGGTCCGTAAACCCTCCAAACTAGAAATGCTTATGTCTATCATATTTTGCACCAACTCGCACTGCTGCAAGGCTTTCTGCAAACTAAGATGCTGCTCCTCGCTTTTGGTCATCTCCTCGTTCATAGTTTGGCGAGCAGTGGTCGTTATTTTCCCTTTGCACTTTAAGAAAAAAAAAAAAAAAAAAAAAAAAAACAAGAAAAAAAAATTACAGTAATAATTCAGAAAAGAAACGTGGAGAAGCCCACGGAACAGAGCAACCTGCAAAACGCCATGAAACAAGATGTTGTAGGTTTACAGACGGGGTTTGTGCCGTGAGAGAGTCGACTCCATTGCAACAACAGTCCTCGTAGTTCCTGCTGTTTCATCAAGGTGTCTCTGCTTCTAGGCTAAATCAAACACAAGATGAAGATACCGAGCGGGACTACACGGTTTGCCAAAGCATCCATTGGGTGCCCCCTTCGTTTCATAGATGGACGTTAAAAAAAAGAAAAAGAAAAAGCTGCTCAGCGCATCATAAGCAGACGTATCTGGGGGAAAGCCTGATGGTTTTAAAGGTGCTGATGTGTGGACTGGATGCAGGTACTCCCTGTCTCCCGTGGTAGCAGCTGCATCCCGGTTCGCTCCCACCACACCGACATGTTTCCTGTCAATCAAACCCACAGCAACAGCAACAGCATCGCATCGCCCTGGCACCGCTGCGAGGAGTCGTTCTCGCGAGATTGTAGCTCCAAGTGCAGTGGGCTCGCTGCTTCATCCAGTCTCCAAGCCTGGATGGGGAACAAAACCAACACTTTTCATGTGTTTGGAGGAAAGATGGGTGTGTGTAATTTCTACCCTAGATGTGTACACTAAGATACATGCAGTGCACAAACACACATACAGTCTACACTGCACCTACAGCCCACACTGTAAACCACAATCCATCCATGACACAACATTTTACACACAAATGTTCAGGACTGTTAGAATCACATAAAAACTGTATGTTCACTTGACACAAACACTCAACCTTGTGAGCTTGTTAAGGAAGCAATATTTCATTATTGAGTTCATTTTAGTTAGATTTATAAAGCCCATAAAGCCTAATTAGTTCAAGGCCAATTAACAACTCATGAGGTGCTAATTGGCAATATATGTATATGTTGTGCATTTAGTATATAAATTGATAACTGATTGAACTATAAAATGGTGGTAAAAATATGCACTCAATGTTTTTATACTCCTATGACAGCAGTCACTTTCTTGTTCAATAAAATGAAAGATTTGTTTTCACAAATAATTCCAAAGTTTGCAGTTGTAAATCACTGTTTGTAAACCTGTAAAAGAAATCTGCAGGAGAAATTGTAAGTTTGTACATTTGTAGAAAAGATGGGACATAAAGTTTTTACTTGCTCTGTGTGCTTGACATTCATTCACTGAGTGTACTACAGTGTGTCCCAGGACTGGGCTTACTCAACCCTCACTGACGCCCGCATTGTCACTTGGGGGGAGGATAAATTTTGTCCATACTTTTGATACAAATGATGTGAATGGCAGTTAAGTATAATGCACATTTCTAGCACTTAAATTTGACAAATTAAACAATAAAATCATGCTATTTTCAACACTATTGGCACAAAAATGGCATGAACCATGGGCTAAAGGCTATGCATCCTCTAAAAAATATGCAGATACATTGCATTTTTGTGTGCAATATGTATAGGCATAAGCATATTTGATTGTCTTCACAGTACTTTAAGAAGAATATAGTCTCCACATCACTGAATATAATGCATATAAAGTCAGTGGAGAGAAGGTTTGTGCAAGGTTTGAGTCAGACACCTGACAGGGTTGATGAAAGTTAACACAGAGGCCTAAACCAACTCTGGGATATGAGGTGGTTAGAATAAGGTTTTTTGATGCCCTTGTGTCTTTGAAACTGCCTTTTCACATTATTTCAAATTAAGAAGTGCAATTTAAAAAAGGTAATATTGGAGTGAAGTAGAGTGAAGTTCATTTAAAGGGGGGATGAATGGGCTTTTCTTAAGTTGTAATAAAAACTAAAAGACCAAGACAGGCCTATTGGCCTTTTACTAACTGGTCATAATAGTGATAAAATTATCTTGTAAAGAAGATTATAAAGCCAAAAAAACAAATTGTTAATTGTGACAATTTCCTCTCTTTAAAAGGCTGGTGGGAAGGAACCAAGCAGAAGGGGGTCTGAACTGTACACAGCAATGTCATCTCACATGAAGCAGGGGGGACACTGGTGGGAAATTTTTATGACATTTTCTCTGTGTCACCTGCAGAGACTTCAGCCAGCATTGGGTCCAGCTCAGCTGAAAAGACTGACTGGGAGAGAGAGAAAAGACAGAACATGTTGAGCTGATTCTTGGCTTAATCATTTTTAATCTTGTCAGCATTGTATCAGATGTTTTCAAGAATGCATTTGTTACAGAAACGTATTTACAGAGTGGACAAAAATATGTGCATGCATTGTACATACATTTTTTTTTTAAAGAAGAAACGTTTGACAACACACTTTTTACAGTGGACATTTGTGTCACCAAGACCCCGCCCATTGGAGCCGACAGTTTGATCCGATTGGTTGTACGCTGTGACGTTCGACGCACGTTTCGTAGTGTAGCGCGCCAAACACGGCAAACAGCAGCAAAGAGTGAATGTGCTGAAAACTCTAAAAAACATTTATTAACCCAGCTTGGAGCTAAATTTACAGCTAACAAGTAACATGTCTTCCACAAATAGAGCGCCATCACAGACCAGAAATTTACCATGGTGAGTTCAGAGTCGTTGTTTATAACAGATAAGTTAAAATGTTTAGCTCTAGCTAGCTAACCCGTTTACTATGTGTTCAAGCTAGCAGCTAGCCGCTGCATGTCGATTTATCTCCTCTATCAACTAATGTGTGCTTTTATGGTGTTTACAGATAACATCAGATATTCTTCATACTTGTGAAATGAATGTGTATGAACTTGTCTTTAATTCGGCAGACATAATGGCTAATTAATGCATCAAGCATCGGTTCGTTGCTGCTGCTTTAACTGACTGGCTCATCAGAAACGCTGCAGCGTCTACTTTTAAACCATATTAAAGTCGACATTTTGTTTAATACATTGGTGTATGGTGTAAACATACAGATGCCGAATTGAAAAGTGGCACCTTACAATTTGACGTCTCTAACATTAGTTAAAGTTCATTGAATATGTACCCATATCTACACGTAAATTGTTTTAAAATAGATTAATTTAAATTAAATCCGTTGTGTAGTTTACACCAGTATGCATAGAATGATAATTGTTGCGGTTAAAAAGTTGCGAATCTGTTTTATTATCACGTATATAAAGTAATGAAGTTACAATAACAACATAACAAGCGTAGCTAGCTTCAGTCATTTAGCAATCGGAAGTATTCATTATTGATAACAATATTGATTGACGATATGCTTCTGCTCCTTATGCCAGGGTTGAAAAATACAGACCACAGAAACTTGACGATCTGATCTCTCACAAAGATATTCTAAGCACCAGTAAGTATGTGGACTGACGGAATGATATATAATATAATCCGCATTCCTAAAAGGTTTGTCAGTCAGCTGTTTGTTGCTTGATGCACGCAAATTGTACATGAATACCAATAAAGATAAATAAATTTTTGTTTACAGTAGTTGTTTTATTAGGTGCATTAATAATAAGCAGTATGAAAGCCACAGCTGTTTTAAATTCCTAGTACCATTTAAAAGGGCTGTGTCATATTCAGACTTAATTTTTTTTACAACTGTTTCTCACCTCCTCAGTCCAGAAGTTTATCAGCGAGGACAAGCTTCCACATCTCTTGTTCTATGGCCCCCCTGGAACAGGCAAAACCTCCACCATCCTCGCCTGTGCCAGGCAGCTGTACAAAGACAAAGAGTTCAACTCCATGGTGTTGGAGGTACGCTACAACTCCTCGTTACAAATTTATTAGGATGTTGTTACACCTCACATCTTCACTAGTTGAGGGATGAAACCTTGCGGCTCCCAGATGTGATGTTAATATCTGACTAATTGTTTTGTAGCTGAATGCATCTGATGACAGAGGTATTGATGTTGTACGAGGTCCCGTTCTGAGTTTTGCCAGCACCCGGACCATCTTCAAGTAAGACTGAAAATACATTGTACAACTCTTGTCACATACCGTCTGTTCAATAGTGAATGTTCTTAATGCTCTTTTCCCTTTATCTACAACCTATAACCGCAAGGGGAATTGTTTAAACTGCTGCCTTTTTGTCTGTCCCTCTTGTCCTCCAGGAAGGGCTTCAAGTTGGTGATACTGGATGAGGCCGATGCCATGACCCAGGATGCCCAGAATGCATTGCGGCGAGGTAAGCCATCTGTTCGGCCGGGCATCGCCCACTGTGAGCCACACGGCTCGTTGAGCAGCCAGACAATTTGGCTGCTGGTGAATTACAGGCTATCTGCTTGTTACACCCTGATATTCATTTTAAAAACCAATACCTATCTGAAGATCTGCTTTTAACTATTGATCGAGTCAAACTGGAACATTTTCTCTTTGAATTCAGCTGCTTCAGGGACAGAGGTCAAAGAATCTTTAGGTAATTTGTGGCATATTTAGTGAGAGCTCCACAAATGATTAAATTTGTTCAGGTTATTACTGACAGAAGGCAGGTTAGAAGCAATGTTGCACCATGAAGTTGAAAAAAAACCAATCAGAACAGGCCACATGTACACAACACTTAGTGCTGCAGTTATTGTAGTTGTTATATTTCTCTTTCTTTCTCTTTCTCTCTTTCTTTCTCTTTCTCTTTCTTTTTTTCTCTCTCTCTCTCTCTCTCTCTCTCTCTCTCTCTCTCTCTCTCTCTCTCTCTCTCTCTCTCTCTCTCTCTCTCTCTCTCTCTCTCTCTCTCTCTCTCTCTCTCAGTGATTGAGAAGTTCACAGAAAACACTCGGTTTTGTCTGATCTGCAACTACCTGTCCAAGATCATCCCGGCCCTTCAGTCTCGCTGCACCAGGTTTCGCTTCGGCCCGCTGTCCCCGGACCAGATGATCCCCCGGCTGGAGCATGTAATCCAGCAGGAGAGGTGTGTTTTTATTTGGGGGAATGTGTGAATGTTGTGATAATTCTTCTCCTTCTATGTAAGGTACAATAACTTGAGGTAGAGGGGATTTCAAGGTGCTGTGTATTGTTCTTTAAATTTTCACATCAGTAAGAGCAGGGTGAAACTGAAGACATCAATCACCCTGACATGATAGGTTTCTGATATTTATACAAAGATTTTACACTTAGTCATACATTAAAGTCCACATGTTTGAATATTGGGACTTGTGAAAATATTTATGATTGAAGTAAATACAAATATAAAAAAACATATAGTACTTATTCAGTTGTTGAGCGAGGCTGATTAAAAGAGTGCATCTTTTTGTGGCAGTATTGACATAACTCCAGATGGAATGAAGGCCATTGTGACCTTGTCATCAGGTGATATGCGAAGATCACTCAACATACTGCAGGTACGACCAAAAGCTCATCATGATCATCGTACCTTGTGGCGTTGTCAGTGTTTTCTTGTTAAGTGTTTTTATTTATAATGTGCTTTTAAACATCTGAAAATCAAACACCTTCCACATGTTATTATATATCATCATCATTGTATAAGGGTAAACTGGACTAACTGTGCTCCACCTTTGCAATTTCAGAGCACCAGTATGGCGTATGGGAAGGTCACAGAGGACACAGTTTACACCTGCACAGGTCACCCCCTCCGCTCAGATATCGCCAACATCCTCGACTGGTCTCTCAACAAAGACTTCACCACAGCATACAAACGTATCCTTCACCTCGCCTCCGGAAGCTCGCCTGTAGAACAATACGTCTGTGTTTACGTTGCATTTTATCGACCAGCTGTATGATTCAGAAAAAGCTAAACATCCTGTAATTGCTGTATATTATATAAGTGTATTTCTGCCTTGCAACTTGTCAGGTTGATAGAAGCTAGCTGTAGCTACATGATCATTAAATCTGCCAGTTCATAACTTAAGCTATTTGTTTTTAAAATGGTAGATAACTGCGGAAAAATCAGACTCCGGCACATGAATAAATAGCGCACATGTTTTCGATTATTTAATATTAAGTTTTTGGATTTGATTGGCTCAACTTTTCAAAATGTAAAAAAGGTCACTCATTAAGAGCAGCTCGTGCCTTTGAAACTCTTTAACAGCCTCCTCACAGAAATCCTTCAGCTGAAGACGCTGAAAGGTTTGGCCCTGCATGATATCCTCACTGAGGTTCACCTGCTCATACACAGAGGTAAGGTCAACATGTTTTAAAAAATATTCAAACGGCAATTTCTCTTTCTATTAAAATATTTTGTTAAAACCAGGTACTTAGTGTTTTCAGTAACCACAGTAAAATAAGAGTTACAACAATTACCTGAGCTGTGGTTGCTGTAGTCTGTGCTGTACTTACTGTACTGTGTTAAATCCCATTTGTGGGTTCAGCTTTTTTACTTGTTTTGGCTTTAGTGGTTGCAGGTCTTTTCCTTGCGGGGGTCCTACCTTAGTAACCAGTGTAAGATGTGTGGGAGGTTTATGGGTTGGCTGCCAGGTAACTTGGCGATGTCTTGCAGAAGAATTACCAGATCTGTATTAGACACATCATTTTGACTTATCCCTGTACTTGCATAGTAATTCTGATTTTATGTGATGATGGGACCACTGTTAGTGAAGGTTTAAGATAATGAATATGGGAAATAAAAGAAGTTGCATTTTCCCTTGTGCCTGCTTTATTTAACAATTAGTATCAATCTTTCACTTGTTTTGTACTAAACAAGTATCCAAATAAATTATTATTTTTTTCCTTCTTCAAGTGGACTTTCCCCCAGATATTCGGATTGGTCTGCTCATCAAGTTGGCCGACATAGAGTAAGTGAGATGACTTATGCTTGCGCTCATAAACAAACATGAATTGAAAAGAAAATCTTTCATTTACATACAAGTAACTGAAAAAGCTCACGTGTTAACATTGTGAAGGCATCCGGATCTTTGGATTATTTCCTTTTTGTGTGTCGTCTCTTCAGACACCGGCTCGCCTCGGGGACCGATGAGAAGATCCAGCTGAGCTCCATGGTTGCAGCTTTCCAGGCAGTGAGAGACCTCGTGGTCAGTGAGGCCTCGTAGATGCAGTAACTGCTCCACCCTGCAACAAAAACCACATCAATGGGAAGAGAAAAAAATTTCAACAATTTCACTCTTTTGTACCACAGTGGAAAAACCATACTGCTTCATCCAGAACTTAAATCGGAAAACTCCATTACTCCTCTAAGATTGAAATTGGTCTCTTATTTCCTACTCAGTCATCCTGCTGCCTTGTATCTAAAACCTTTTAAACAGTTTGGTGGTGGTGTGCAATGATGCCATGAAAAGCTGAGGATAGGTCGATTTCCCTTCCCAACCAAACAGCTGAATTCACTCATAGGAAATCTGTGAAATCACCAGTTTGTTTATTTGTTTTTTGGAAGAAAACAGATGTCCTCAGGTGCATACTGCGTGATTGCCCACCACTGCTCCACAGACCGAATGTACAGTGCGGCAGATGTCTCAGACACAGATGCTAGCAGCTATCTGAGTCACTCCCATGTGCATGCAAACAGAGCAAAATGGAAAGCAGTTTAAAGATCCATCATTTGGGCACTTAGTTAAAATACAGACTCGAAAAATGCAAAGTGTAGCATCAATTCACAGTCACTGATGAATCCATCGATCCTTTGTGTAAGAATAACCAGTCACATGTAAACACGTGTAAATGTTTGAATCTGTTTAATAAAACTATTTCCTATAAGTCCAGTTTACATCTTATATTAACAATTAACATGTGCTGTTACAGTGGTAGTGCGTGTGCTGTTTCATGATGATAAACACAGGAATTAGAAATACATATACATTTGATATTTACACAATAAATTAATAGTATAAAATTGTGACATTCAAGTCATATAAGCATGTGAACGTTGAGTTTATGCATCGTCTTACAATGGTAGTGCAGTAAATGAAATCCTTTGTGCAGAAGTGTTGCATCTAAAGTAGATGACGTTTAGAGGTGCTTCCTGTGCTAGAATCAAGCTGTGAAGGCTTCTCTTAAAATCAGCAAACAAAGGCATTTTGATTATGAGTCAGTGTATAACAATCGCTTGCTGTAAATGCCAGTTGCATTGTTTGTTTTGTTTTTAATGTTCGCAGTTAACCTTCCCACTCCTCTTCCTCTGAGGAGGGACACGTCTTGAGGCGTTCGGGGATGTTTCTGTAGGTGAGGTACTCCAGGATCCTCTTGGGGAGGGGCAGCGGCTCCATCTGGTGTGTGGAGACCGAATCGCGCAGGATGGATCGGCACAGGTGGCACAGGCTGGGCACCCTCCTGGGCGCCCTCCAGAACCTCACGTGGCCATCTCTGGTTCTGACAGGAGAGGGTGGGGGGGGCATGAGCAGTTAATGTCACAGTTAAATGGCGGCTGAGAGAGCCTGATGCACCAAAGAAAACATGCAAACAAGAAAACAATATCTTAAATTTTAATTGTTTGCATGTGAGACATTTAACGGGAGTTGCACTGAAAGCAGTTGAGCCAGCATTTGAAGAAGTACTGAACAGTTTGTCATTTAAACATTATGAAATAAAAGCTGTTGAAGTGCCAGAAATAGGTCAAATGTGCACCGTAAATAGTTGGGTGTATTTCAGCCTCTACAAATGATGAAAGCAACAGAAATTTTCAAAGAATAGAAAAACGAAATCAAAACAAGCAAATGAATGAAGCGCTGCACGCGTCTGTTCTTGTTGTGTATTTCTGTGGGGGCTGTGTATGTTGTCAGATTGATGAATGTGTCCCCACCACACACCCCCTAACAACAAAAAAAGACTATTGAAAGCTTAGAAAACAATTGTTGTCAATTTTCAGTAAGCTCGTGCTGCAAACATTTCCCTTGTGTAAAAAAAAAAAAAAAAAAAAACGGCACAGATGCGGATCATGCTGCAGGAGAAGTTTGCAAAATTGTGATATTTCTTTTATTTCACACTACTACTGTCCTGTCAGAAGAGCAAGCGGAAAATATTTTAAAGCCATCTTTCAAGTCTACATGAGGTAAGTAAGTAGTTAGCGGCACTTTGAATGGATTTTTTTTAAAAGTGATGAACACTTGAGGATTTTTACCCTGTGGCGACCACTCCCCCTTGTGGATGGTAGTTGCAGCAGAGTCCATTAGAGTCTCGGTCCGCCTTCGTCTGCATCACCATCCCCGTCTTTCCCGGCTCCCAGATCCGAAGAGCTCTGCAAACGCACAACATAACATCTGCCTGAAATCATTTGGTGTGGTGCGAGAAACGTTTGCATGACGACGCGATAAAAGCAGGTCACAAGATTTCTGTGATGGAACTGATGAACTGCTCACCTGTCGTCTGTCACGATCGCCAGGTGTAAACCGTTGGGAGAAAATTGTAATGAAGAGATTTGGTTTTGCCCGTAATCTTCAAAGTAGTCACTGTGGATAAAAGAAGAGTTTCTAAGGATGATATTGTTCTTGAATGTTAAACTTCACGTTGTATACGAACAGTAAACAAGAATGAGGTACTGAAACAGGTTGGACACGACAGAGTTTCAGGGTGTGCATCAGATGATGACAGTGTGGGGTGTTTGGTTCTCCTGGTGAAAACTGGCATCAACAATAAAACTATAAATTTCTAGAGTATTAGAGGTCCTATTCATATCATATGTATCAAAAAAACAGCAGTCTAAGATGCATTTGCCACCCATGAGAAGGACAACTTACACATCCCTTTCAGCTGCACCAGCCAAGAGTCAGTGAATGTTTAGACTGAAAACTGAGTGTAAACTTACACCAGAGTGGCCAGTTTCTCTGCTGTGTACGGGTCCCACAGGTCGATCCACCAGCTGGAGCCGCTGAAGGCCGCGGTGGCGAGCAGCGCCCCGTCCGGAGAGAAGTCACAGGAGGACAGGAGGTACAAGGTCTTGCGGGTCCCTCCTGTCAGGTTTCTGATGAAGGTGTATGAGCGAAGACTCCACAGACACACCATCTGATGAAGGTGACATGATGATTAATGAGTCTTTATACCTCGCTGTAATCTAAAAATAATTATGTGGAAGGGATTTAATAAGACTCATGAAGTTATTCTGCCTTATGAAGATTAGTGCAGAAGTTGCACTGCGAGAAAGATTTGATTTACAGTGACGTATGAACTCAGTGAATGTAAACAGGACAGGCTGAAACATGCAGCAGACTGCTGTAAGTGTGACTGTGATAACCAGCCTTGGCCAAACGCACAGACAACTAAACTCTGCACTGGAAAGAAATGTCTTCAAAGCTGTATGTAACTTGCTAAGATCCATGTGGACCTCCAGTTTCATCCTCACTTAGCAAAAACAATTGAATAGTTGTAAATGTTTATGCAGACACCATCTTCCGAAACTAGTCAGCATCAAAGGAAATGCTGCCCTCATGATCAGAGAAAACAGGCTTGTGACCAGGAGCTTGTAAAAGCTGAAATTCTCCATGAATATTTGCGCAAGTAAAAGATCAGTCAGGAAAACCCTCAAGAGGGAGAGTTAAAAAAACAAAAAAACAAAAAACAAAAGATCTTTAGTTGATGATCTTTCCTCGAAAAATAAACCTTTTTTTCCTTAAAAGTCGCTTCTTGTGAAGCTAAATCACAAGGCTGTGCAACAGGAGAGACAGTCACACTCTCCTGAACAGAGATGCAGAATATTCTGTCCTTTTGGCACAAATATGGTTACTGGTGGAAAATGTCATCAAATTCACATTTGATTTGACACAGAACAGACTGAAAAATATTTCTCAATTTGACGCAGAGAATGAGATTAAAAACCATCGAAGAGGACTGAATGGAGCTTTGTCTGGCTTTCATAACTTTTACGATAACATCACTCACTCTGTCAAATCTTCCGACGGATGCGATCATGCTGCAGTCGGACGACACGCAGCAGCAGCTGATCCAATCTTTGTGGCCAGAGAGCACCTGAACAGTTTTACCTGCAAAAGACAGAAAACATATGAATTAGACAAACTATGGAGCATCAGCGAATAACAGTTCCTGGAGTGGTACAGAATGCGGCTCCCATAAGTGTAAACAGGAACATTTGTTTGCTTTAACCTCTTACACTGGAACAGAAGGTTTAGTTCCACTGGACAGCGCGGTGATAAAACACAGAGACTAAGTGACGAATACACAGAGAGGAGGGAAAAAAATTATTTAAATTGCACATTCTCTACGCTCATAGCCCATAATTTATGGAAGCATACCATGAGTCTTAAGACTGACTTCCAACATTCCTGGCAACCACTGGTTTCAGTCAATATGAGTACAGTTTAAAATTCAGTTTGCAGAGCATTAAAACATTTCACACCTTTAGGTTTTTCTTTCTTAGCCGAGATACAGAGATCTGACAAGTTATCTGAGTATGAACAGTACTGAGGCCAAACCATAAATGTACAATGTGACATTAGTAGATTCATGCATGATAAAAGCGTTGAGCTTAATGACAGTAAGGCTGTGAGATGCAGTTGAAATCACCAGAAGATTTCTTTACAGAATCTAAATGTGAAGTCTTGAATAACAGATTTTCACACGTGCATTTGAACTCATCAACAACAAGAATTTTTCACAACAGCCTGATGATAAAATTTTTTTAAAAAGTTAAAAATGTGGTCTGGGATGAGAACTTTGAAATCTCTGAGCTGACCTTAAATGAAACCATTGGCTGCAAGAAAGACTGGAAATCAATAAACGTGATAAGCTTTGGGAAATGGTCCATAGTCATTGACACAATTATTAGCTAATGGGTTAAAAGTTTAACATGAAGTGAAATAACACAAAACACACACCTAAACAAAAAAGAAAAACAGACAATATGCATAAGAACTGCTGTTTCCTTAATCTATTTACCAATGAAACAGTATGTTTGCATTGCATTGTGATACTACAGTAAATACTAGAGTTATATCAGTAAGGACTGTTTGTGAACACCACTTGAAGTTGTTATCACAAGAGGAGGTGAAAACATTTCTCACCTGAAAACCTGAAAAAGACTTGAGTGACTGTCTGAAGGATTTGGTTTCAAACTTCGTAACACTACACAAACTGCACACACCTTTCTGCGCCAGGTCCCAAATCCTCAAGGTTTTGTCTCGAGAGGACGATACGAGTGTGAGCGTCCCATTCTGAGGGAAGACCAGGTCCCTCACAACTCCTTCGTGTCCATGGAGATCAAATACAGTGATGCCTAAATGTGCATTAAACACAATTTCAATATCACACTTTACTTCTGAACGCAGCACAGATAACATCCTCGCCAGCAGAAATAAAGATCTCACCCGTTAAGACATTCCAGATTTTGATGACCCCGTTCTCCAAGCCTGTGGCCAGAAGCAGACTGTTGTTTGATGGTCTCTTAGCCGGTCGTGCCACTGCAGCTGATTTTGGAGGCCTGGGCCCGAAGGCGAGGCCCCACACCGGGTGACCACAGCTGAAGCTCTTGTCTCCTCGGTCTGTCTCTCCGTTCTGACCGTCTCTGTGGGTGAGAGAAGCATCAAGTATGCAGATACCATAAAAAACAAAAAACTTACCTGCAGGCAGAGTGAAGCTGGAGTTGGAGATTAAATGATGCTGCCTTTATGTGCTGTTAGAAATGTCAGAATCACATTTACTACAGTTGTAAATAAGTCAGTGGTGATGACAATATAACGGGAAAAGTCGGAATTTTCTAGTTCCAATGTTTGTAATTTAGATAGAAAAGGAGACAGAGCCAATAAAACCCACTTGACTTGAGTCACTGGATATTGCCTCTGCCACCTCCATACTGTTTGTTTTTCCAACTTTCACCATCATCATGTGCTGGTGTACAAACACTAAGGATGCTTATAAAACCAAAGTACCAACTGAAATAAATCCATAGGATATCCTGTATCAAAAATTGGCATTAAATGTAGATGAGATTGTTTACTCTTTCTTTGATCACATAACTTATCTTCTTTAGACTATATTTTATTTAGGTAAATGTATTAATTTAACATTGGTGCATGGAGCAATTTGAAATTTTGTTTTTAATTAAAAAAGTATAAACCATATTTCTGGAAATAGATCTGCATCAATCAAAATGAGATGTTCAGGGGCCTGTTTTAAAGTAGGAAAAGTCACAAAACATATGGTATGGAAACCCAAAGTATTCAATATCAGAATAATAGATAAATAAAAACACTTTGAAATAAAAAATTATATGAATAAATACAAACAAAATATCTAATATAGCCATGAAATTGTGAAATAATCCAATAAATATTTAAATCTCTGCTTACTGTAATGAAATGCTATTTTATCCTGATCCTTTTCACAACAGTGAAGAGTTTCCTTGCTTAAATTTCAAAACATATTTCCAAAGTATTTTTCCATTGCACAATTTGCGCAATAATATTTTTCCTGACTTATGGTTTCATTTCAAAATACCAGTTTTCATCACCTTGTCTCCAAAAATCAAGACAAACTGGACGGTTATGTGACGTTTGCTTATTTATTTACTCATATTATTTCATAATGTTTTGTTCAATTGTTGAACACTTTATTTTATTTATTGGGCATTTTATTATATTTTTGACAAGTTATGCAAAGCAACTAGTGTATAGTTATATTTTGATTCTTTACTTTTATTTGTAATATGTAATGTGTTTATTCTATCTAGAGATAAGACAAGTAATTGATTAATCAATTAGTTCAACATTTAAATAATTGGAAACTCTTCTGATAATCGAATCGTATTAGTCATTTCCCAAGCAAAAAACGTGAATTTCTTTTTTACACATTCTAAGGTTTCAGCTTTTAGAGTGGCAGGATTTTCGTTGTCTTATATAGTAAACTGAATATCTGCGTCAATCAATAGTGAACTTGCAGCCGTGCTTCTATGAGGACAGATATCTCAGACGACCACCTTGTTCCTCCTCCACTCTCGACGTGTACTAGAATGTACGAGGTACACCTGAACGCATCATGCGAGGATTAAATGTACAGGTATAGTTAAACATACTCGGAGTCGAGAGGCCAGGCGACCACCCAGACGATGCCGTGTCCCATCGACCAGGCGAACCAGGCTCCGTCCGGGGAGAAGTCCACGCTCCAGGTCTCGCATCCCGCCCGGCCCACCAAGGACGGAGGACGCCTGGTCTTCAGCTCCAGGATGAGAGCAGGGTCGGACGCTGGAGGAAGACGGGAAGGCAGCATGAATTCAACGGCTGACAGATTCATCGTTCACCGACACTGACAGCAGAGGCGTCGCCGCCAACCTGCCTTGTTCGGTTGGACATTTTCCTCCAGAGGTTTAACGTCGGCAACACACCGCTGCCTGGTTACGGACGGTTGCGATGACAACAGAATTATTCACAAGAAAGAAAAAAAAAAAATCACTTACATGTCGGTGCTATCTCCGCGTTGTTTTCCGTGGAGCACATCGTTTTCCTTTTCACATTCTTCGCTTTATCGCCGACTTCCTGAATTCGTCTTCCCTCCGTGGCCCCAAGGAGCCATTTAAATAAAGGCAGGACACACTCTTTGTGTCCGGACACAGCTCGGGCTTCTGTCTCCCTGCGATACACTGTTTGCTATGTGAAAAATGTGCGAGTCGGAAACAAATTGTTCAGCTGATTTCCTGATGTCTGAGTCACTTTGTACCATTGGCTGCAATGTTTCCCAACGTAGTCACGTTTTTCTTCATTACGCAACCTCACTCAGCCTTAACCACGCCCCCTAGCATTAAATTATAATATGTTAAACCCTTGGGGTTGCACTGTTGATAAACACTTATGTCATGAACACAGATGTTCTCACTGTCATCCAGTGTTGTCATTATTAAAAAATTATGCTCAGCTCTGAAGGTTGAAATTAAGAATATTACTTTATATTCTCGTCAAGATCCCAATACAATATAAAATATGGAAAATGTCTCTGCGTGAACTGAAGAGGAAAGTGTGTTAAATCATTATTCACAATACATCCTACTAATAATAATTATTAAAACATACAAATATCTGATATTTAACATTTGCTGTAATAGTGCAGCCATAAAAATGGCTTGGAATATTTCACACCAAAGCATGAGCTACTTTGAATTAGTGTTGTCATTCCCTTAAAAAGAAAAACGTTTTATTAATCTTAGGGTGCAGCTTACTATTGTTTTTATTATCAGTGAATCTTTTGTCAATTAAATGTCCTTCATATCGGTCTGAAGCCCAGGATGGTTCAACCAGTCCAAACCACTTTACTATGAATTAAGACAAAGAAAATCATCAAAGCCAAACAATTGAGAAACTCAGATGAGGAAACGTTTGGTATTTTTGCATGAAGATTGATTTAAATGAATAAAGAAAATCATAATAGTTGCTTCTTGTGTTCTAGCTAAGCGCATATGTAAGTAAGCGCACAACTCCATTTTTAAATGCAGATTACCAGTGATTTTACTCTCAGGTCATATCACCAACTCTTAGTTTAAATATTTACACAGAACAAAGTCCAATAGTGACACATTGAGTCAAAAGTTAGTGATGTTTCACTTGGTTTCCCAGATAAGGTAACCTAATGAGTGACAAACTGACTCTACCACATTTTTTAAAAACATGTTAGTTAGTCTGAAAATGTTACAACACAGGGTGGAGCTGTGCGTAGATCTGTGAATGAGGAGTTAGTCATGGGTTACCAAAGACATTTTTCCACCATGCAAAAGACGGCAGTCATACAATCATATTCTTTGGATTCACCAACTTCATTTACTGCATTCACGTCAGTATCAGAGCAACATATTCAAAACACTGTACAAATATGTTAATCACAGAAAAGCTTAAAAAAAAACCCCAAAACAAATTAAAAGAGATTTTTCTTTTACATTTGTCTTCCACCAGTTCTGTTCACATTCTCATTGGGAGTAAATAGTATTTAACTAAAAATAAAACATTTTTCTAAAAACACCCAATACCTAAAATGTTACAAGTTCCACCGGCTCCTCTGTCTGTACAGTGTCTTCCTGCTGCTCCGGGCTTGTGTCAGCAGTTTCTGCGTCCTCATGATCACCTACAAAAAGAGAAGTGACATTTTTACATGACCAAACATTTGTGCACTTCATCTACAAACCGTAAAAATCACCGTAAACGGCCGTGATAAAGTCATACTCGATGGGATTCGATGTATCTGGACAAGCGTCGTGTGGCGTCCGTTGACCAGCGGAGGCAGCCGCGGGACGGCGTCTTGAAAGATCTGCTCGTCGTCTGACTCCACCAGACTCAGCACATCTCCTCTGTCCTCCTCCATTTGCCTAGAGAGCAGAAACGTTATGACATTAGTGCGCCTGCAGGTCGGGATCCAGTCTTTATAATCATAAATACCTGAGACACTTTGACACTGCTATACATTATCAAATCTTTATTGCTCCATGCGGCAATGCGAGTCATTTTGTGTTCAACGTCTGTGTTATAGGTTTTGCGACTGCAAAAGTTCTTCACCACTGGTAGCACTATGAAGCAATGACGTGTGGGTCCCAGTTTTGTTAGTATCTCAAGCACGTGTACAGGGATATGCCAAGAAATGTAGCATCTTGCTAACAAAAGCCATGAAGACGAATACTGCTAGCTGTCAAACATGGATGTAAACAATTCAAACTTCTGCTCTACAAATGTTTCATGAGGAAGGAAATGCATTTTAACGCATTAACCAGGCCATGTGTTTTGGTGAAAAAACACTGAATGTAAACAACATAATATTGTTTGTTTACGAAAAAAACTAACAAACCTTTGCAGGGTATCTTTAAGTTTACTCAAAGGTGAAAGTATGCAAAATAACTGCTAAATGTTGACACATTTGTCCCATGATGCAATGCACGATGGAGATTTAGGAGCTGTTCACAGCTGGAAGAAAAATCTAATTAAACTGACTGATATTTAGCTTTTTATTTGTGAGGTTTTATGGACAGTGGGAACTATCGGTGCATGTCTTGAATCATTTCCAGCTGGTAGAAAGCAGTAATGTAAATGCTGATTTCTTGTATAGGCTTCTAACTCCGAGAGAGAGTGGCAATGATATTTTCATCTCTCTCTCTCTTCTTTTCTGATGGATTTATACCAATGTGATTAATACAGGTGTCAAATAGCAAGACAAGAGAGAAACTCTAGCTACTTGATTCAGAGTATAATAATATTGTAATATGTTTGCAGGAATAAGAAAAAGAAACCACTAAAATAAAAATATAAACGATATACTTAACAACTGAATTAAAATGAAATGATGTTAAAATCAGCATGCAGAGTGTATTCGAAAGGTAAACGTGTGATACTCACCCGAAGCCACTTCCTGAAACGAAAATATGAACATAAATTGTGAAATTAGTATTCATGGATTTGTGTGATTCAAACTTTTGTGATGTCAGATCTCATGAACAACATTACAGATGCAGAATGAAAGTTTAATGCATGCAAAGACTGATCATAAGATTAAGGTTAAGTGGGACAGTCATTCGTGGCATGCGTTTGTAACCTCTGTGCTTATGTTGCCAAGAACAAACTGAAGTTACCCAGGCAAATTCGGTGTCGGCTGGAGTAAACCGTTTTAGCTATGATGACGGCTGATCCCACGATCAGTGCTGCTATAAAGATGCCGATGATCGCTCCCGTGTATTCAGAGGAGGCTGTGCAGACAAAACAAGACGAGAAGGGGAGGATTAAGAAGCAGGAGGAGCAGCGGGTTTAACAGCATTCCAGAGGTGGAGTCGACACCTGCAGCGACTGGCTTTTGTTGCAAGAAGTGTAAGCTCAACCTTCATTGTCATTCATCATTCCTTCTGATGTTAAAGTTTTCATTTGTTTATTCTATTTAATTGTTCATCTCTGTTGATCATCTCTCTCTATATATAAAAATGCAATAACATGCAAATGCAATTAGATTTCCCCCGCACATGTGACCATCGCGCAGCCCCAAACCCTTCCTCCCATCCCAAACTCACCTTTCACAGTGATGTAGACTTCCAGCTCGCTGACGGCGAGGGGGTTCTCGCTGCGGCAGAAGTAGACGCCTTCGTCGTCCTTGCTGACGTTGTTTATGGTCAGCTTGTAGACGGGGCCTTCCTCAGACAGGACATACTTTGACCCGGGCACGATGTTGTCCTGCTCGAGTCCCTTTCTCCACGAGGTGTTTGCAGGGGGGGTGGACGTGGCCTCAGTGCAGATTAGAGTTACGCTGGTCGCCTCCAGAGCCGTGACCATCGGCTCGCCTTCAGGATACGGAGGCTCTAGGAGAGACGAGCAAACACTGAACTGTCAGACTCTTGATATTATTTGTCCAAAAAGTTCTCAGTACTATTCTAGTTGGCCTCAGTGGAAATCAAACCCTCAATCTTTATATTCATAACAATGAATTCTTTGAAAGAAAAGTTTGACATTTTGTTTAATATTCACTTTCTCTTAAAGAATTAGACAAGAGAATCAACACCACTCTCACGTCTGTACAGCCAGGAAACAGTTAGCTTAGCATAGCATAAACATAAACTGACAGCTAAGAAAATCAAGAATCAATGACGGAAAATCGCTAATTTAAAAAGGAGTCCGTTTTTTACTTGAAGGAAACACTGTGCGACGCAGGTAGATTTTGGGTCTTATTTGACAAAGACACACCTTTGATTGAAATCTTTACCGACATTAAAGAAGGCTGATAAGCTAATACTAATGTATATACTATCACACACTTGTGCGTCACCTGTTGCACAATCCTGTCCTTTGATAACCCGTACACAACTGAGTGACTCACTGTCCACATGCCGTGGGCACGCTGCCAACTGTATCTGTCTGGGTGTGTTTGTATCCGCAGCAGGACTAGAGTCTAATGTAAACTAACAATTATAATAAAGCATAAATACTGAGCGTCAGTTAGCCTGTCAAGCAGTTTTCCTGGGCTGCAACACTCAAACAAAGTGTTTAGCTTCAGAGGAGAAACAGAGTGGAGAGTTTACGACAGGTCGCCTTCAGGGGAGGAGGTACATTCAACTGATGCGTGCATTACCCACAATGTTCTTAGTCTGATAAAAAATATATTTTCTCATTTAACTATTGGTTTCATTGGGCCACAGGGCAATTGGAAAGACTTTTCACAGGGACTATTTCTTTGCAAGAAATCTTATATGGAAGCAGACAGTTTCTAACATTAGGACTCGCCTGGGTTCATCTGCTGAGATATCCGTCTCTGAAACCTATAAATAATCAGTTTATAAATAAAACACTTTATTCTACAGTTCCTTAATTTTCTGAGGAGATGCTTTCTAAAAACTATCTACATAAATTGGTAGAATTATTGTTCTAAGTTCTGAGAGTTACTATTGAGTGGTCTTTTTTGTGGGTAGAAATCTAGTGTGGTATGTACCATGCAGATAGTTTATAACATTGGGATTTTCATGGATTTAGCTGCTGAAACTTTCAGATATTTGTATTAGTACAAATGAGGTAAACACAGTTTGGTTTGTGGTATTTGCAGTAATCCATTTTAAAATAAAGCAGGAATATCTCAGTTACACTCTAGCTCAGCTGTTTTCACTGGAACTCATTTTTACCAAATAAATAAACCCTATGAAAACTGTCCTCTGTGAGGTCTGTGAATTATCCGGAGTAGCAGGGATACTTTAGCGGAGAGACATGTTTTTTAAATGTAGTTTTTCCAATGGTGTGAATGATGGAAACAAAATCCTATTTACCTCCACTGCAATAGACTGGAGGCAGATATCTCAGAGCCTCAGCAGACAGACCCAGGTTTGCCTCAGAGTTACAAACTAGCTGTGTGTCTAGATACTGTACTACAGTGTGCCTGTTACTCTGGACGATCCACAAAGCTCACTGAATGTTTTTTTTTTCATTTTGTGGGTGGGGGGGCTAATTGGGTGTACTGACCCTTTAAACTGAGTTAAGGTCAGTACTAAGAATACTGTTGTGTCAACAATCGCTGCACACTGAAGAGTGTCAGTCGAGCTCAGTGGCCTCTAAAGCGGAAAGTACATAAAAGATTCAGCAGCTGCACATCTCAGGATTGTTACGAGGCTCGTTTCACAACAACATGCTTACTGAGGGTAAAACAACACGACTTCTCCTTTCCCGAAGCGAGCGCTTGGTGCCGGGGCGTGCACCTCAGCGTCTGCCCATCAGACAGCTGGGAGCGGTTCAGTGTCACCGACAGACTGTCCGTCACCTCCGTTGCATAAACGCGTCCTTGCCACTGGGCTCCCTGGTCTTCCTCCCAGCTCAGCGTCGGGGTGGGATACGCTCCAAACCAGCTGCAGTTGAACTGGATGTAGGAGAGGTCCTGCGCTGGTGACCACATACACTCAGGGTGTCTTTCTGGGGCATCTAGTCAGAGCAAAAACATCAGTATGGAACTTAACAAAAACTGTGCAATATAACTGCTATCATTTAAAAATCCAGTTTAGTTAGAGCCATCGCAAAGGATGGTCAGACCCGCAAAGAAAGTGACAAAAAAAAGTTTATATGGTGGCGGAGATTTTGCATTTGGCTCCTAAACTTTTTTTCATATTCAGAGGTGAATATAAGACACAGAAGAGGAAGGCCACGATAACGTCATCACTTTACCTAGGGTGCTGAAACATAAAGGATGAACAAGGAAAAATGGTTTTAAAAAAAGATCATAAAACTCTGTTTCCTGAACGTGACCATCATATTTCATCCAGTATTTTCATCTTTGTCTTTTTGTCGTCTAAACTTCAGGTTAACAGTTTTTTATTAAAAGCTTCTTAGAAGCCGACATGACCTGAGTGACACTTTTTTCACATGTAGCCATAAAGATCTTTCAGAGTTAGATATCACTGCAACACAGACTTTTAAAATACAAATGAAACATCAATACTTATACTAATAGCCCCGTGTACCTGAAAAAGAAAATATATGGGGGTGGTCCGCAAGTGCTCATCCACACTCCCTCCAGAAACAGTACTGGGTCCCAGTTTCAATATTTCTTCTGTTTTGGATTAGAATGAGTTAAGTTTTGTTCACACTCCTAAGATTGAGGATCTGTGACTCTGATCTTTTTTAGAAAATAATGGTGTTCCTGCGTACAGCTTTCGTTGAGTTGTTTGTTTTTCTACCAAACTTTTTCTTTTTTTTTTTTTTTTTTTAAGTACTGAGCGTTGGCAGTCAATTCTCAGTCAGATGTTCAGTCGTGTAACTAAAGACAAAGTTATTGTACAACTGCTTGTGTTATAACAACATTAAACAGTGATGCACTGAACAGTGTTCTGCAAAATTAAAAAAAGAAAAAAAGAAAAACATGTTTAATTTCCTCAAACTAAGGTACAGAAAAAGCATCATTTTGGTTTTGCTGTATAATATAATACATTCATACATGAAAACAACACGTCCTGTTACTTACAGTACACTAGCAGCTGCGTGCTCTTGTTGACTGCCTGATGAGAGACGGTGTTGTGGGCCCTGCAGCTGTAAACTCCCTGAGCGCCGGGTTGAATGTCTTCTATCCCGTAGTCCAGCCAGGCTCCAGTACCTGAGACCAGTGAGTCGTTGCTGGACGAAGCTCCTCTGAAGGCCCAGGTCAGCTGCTGAGAGGGGTAGGAGGAGCCGGAGCAGTTAAAGGAGACGGTCGAGCCCTGATAGACGATGAGCGTCCCATTGGACAGGGCGTGGGCTGGGCCGATGGACACAGACACGTTTTCTGGACCACCTGAAATAAATATGAGCCGTGCATTATAACTGTGCACAATCCGATCTGTCATTATTGTCAAGAGTAAGAGGTAAATTACTTAACTTTATTACTTAAATACCCATCACCATCAATACCCACGACTAATTGGAAGTGATTTTTAAAACACTGTTTTGAGCTTCTGCCTTTAATGAATGCTGAAGATCAACGTTTTGATGAGGAGGTTGCATGATACACATTTTTGCTGATGGCAGAGCACAGTAATACAGCAGTTACTGGCTGTAATATGATGTAACAAGACAGCAACGTGCCAGTAAAAGAGAAGAAGAAGAAGAAGAGCACAAGCTTATTTGCTTATTTTACACAGGATTAGTAAGTATTTTAAGTATGGAAGTTCACTTTAGACTTGTTTTTTTCCACTACATTTTAGTACCAGCAGGAACCATTAATCCATCCAATGAAATCACAGGCTTTATCATAAATTGTTACCATTTATGAATAGATTAATTGATAATGACAAATAACTCTTCGTTGTAACCTTCTCTGGTGCAGCTTTAAGTATCCTGTTTCTCTTATTTTGTCCTGTATAATATCATTCATCACGCTGTCTACAAGACCGGATTACCGGGGATAAAGCAAGCAAATTCCCATGGGCCCCAAACGTCAAAGGTTTACGCCTTATCTTTTGGGTTCATATTATTTGATTAATTGTATATTTGTACGATTAATGAAGAATATCTGCCATGCAGAGTCCTCCATTCTCCATCTTGTGGCCCCATCCTCCAGAGGGAGCTCAAACTCTACTTTTAAGACCTAAATTGTTTTACTTTACACTGAACTCATATGTTGAAAAGGTGCATTTTAACAATTTTTTTTCCTCTGTGTCAAGAATAATTAACACACAGAAAACCTCGGTCAAGGTAGTATTAATCCATTAGTACTGTAAGAATGCAACCAACAATTATTGTCATTATCAGCAGGTCTGACAATGGTTTTCTTTAATAATCAATTGCTTTTCAGTGTATAAAATGTCAGAAAATATATATTTTTTGTTTGACGAACAGTCAGAAACACGAGAATGTTGAGTTTACTGTCATAGAAAACTGCAAATATTCACATTTGAGAAGAATTTTTTGGAATTCTTGCTTGAAAAAAACAACTTAAACAATTAATCAGTTATCAAAATTGTTGCCAATTATAACATCTCAATTGACTGATTGATTGATCTGCTAAACATTTCAGCTCTAGAGTAATGGTTGGTTTTTGTGTCTGGGGAAATAATGAAACTGCCATGTGTAACAGGGGGCTATAAGGGCCTCAATCTTTTGCCCAGCCTAGAAAATGCTGCTTTAAAGGAATTCCAGTGAAAGACACAGAGCAGGTCATACTGGGATCATTACTGGACGAATGATCATTCACTTACTGGTTACTTGGAGCAGGACACGTGCATGGAATGTATTGTTGCCAGGTAGTGTGGAGCTGCACAGGTAGCTGCCCTCATCTCCAGGTGTCACCCAACCGATGTTCAGGCTCCCGTCATGCATTACCATCAGACGCTGTGCGGCGGGAGAAGGGCTCGGCGAAGAACCTCCACCCCTAATGACTTCTCGTCCATTTTTCATCCATGTCGTTAAGGTCGGTGTTACATTACCGACGGTGTAACACGGAAGTAGAGCGATGTCGCCCGGTGCGGCTTCCAGCGCCGTTTCGGTGGAGCCATTATCCGAAACTGCCGCTTTAACATGGAGAAGAATAAAACAATGAAAGAAGCAGTTTCACACTCACCTGTCGCACCTGGCTGTGTGTTGTTATTAGAACTCACCTGTCGCAGATAAACACAAATGTATAAGCGCTACAGCTGCGACTATTTTCATGATAACTTTCCTACATCGCCTTCAAAAAAAGTGAACAAAAGGCTCCCAGTCCAAACCTGTCTGACTAGTCCACCTGCGCGAGCCTGTCTGTAACACACTGACACACAGTGCACACCTGTCCGCCCATTGTAAACCACGGTAAACACACTACATTGTCGGCATAGGTGACCCGTCTGACATGATGTGACTTCTGTCTCTCTGTGGCAGATTTGGCGGACGTGCTTTGTTTACTAGAGATCCGGAAACTTTGGCACAAATAAACCACGCCTGACCTCACCTTTTTAAAGGTACAGTAACACCATTTTTTTTTCAATTCTATGAAAAGCCTATACACTTGCCTATGATTATTATTGTGAAAACATACGAGACAAATTAGATTATTAAGCAGATGTTACAACGGTATAACATTGTATTACAGGCTCACCGCTATAATCATGTCTGTAGCACAAGTGTTATAAATTGGTCTCAGATATTATTCATTTATTATTTTTTTTACTCTTAAACTTTATTTTTATCTTATATATCTTATACTGCTTAAAAAACAGAAAATAAAAAGGTCACTGTGATGGATTACACAACTCAAGGAAGAGACTCAAGAAGTGGTTGATTTACATACAATGATGAAGTGGAAACCAATGTTAGTATGACAAAAAAAATTAAAAAAAATACACTTTGTGTTTTTTAAGCTTTTATCTTCCTTTCTCATCAGATGGAGTTGCTCAGTTTCCATGGAGATGGTTTAGTTGCTGGCACTGATTACCAAAAGAAAAAAAAAGAAAAAGAAAAAAAAAGGCAGTTTGAAAATCTATATATCTGATATATCTGATTCAGATGATGAAGGTCTTGGGGTATGATTGAAATCTCAACAACATGGCTCTCAGCCCCCTACTCAAAATTATTTTGAGTTTGTAAAGTAAAGTTTAGAAATAATTCCAATGTTTGTAGCTGTAAATCAACCTCTGTAAACCTGTAAAATAAATCTGCATGAAAAATGCAAGTTTGCATGTGAAATAATTGTGCTTGTGTCATAGAGATTTGTATTAACCCAGAATCTTTGCTATGCACGGCCGGTTACCTGACAGCAGGCTCCTGGATACGCGGTACGAAGTCGCTGTTTAACACAGTTAGCATTCATAATTCGAGGTAAACTTAGTGTTAAAGTAATCTTTGTAACTAATTGCATACATGTCAATATTTGGTAAATATCACATATATGAGGAGAAACCTTGTAATATTAGCTGAAGCTACTGCGTGTAAGCTAACTGTGTGGTGTAACCGCTTGTATTAAAACCATACCAAGGGAAAACATCTTATGACGTGTTTTAAAATTAGTTCTGCAAAGCTAAGGTTACGTCACCGAACTTAGAGTTAACAGTGACAGCGGGTTGTCAATGTCGGTAAGTTACGGTGACAAGTAGGGTCATTTTTCCATACACTTTAATACAATCGGACTTCTTTTTGCTTCGGGTGGAGTCGCCCCCCGATGGTCATTCGATAGAATGCAAGTTTAAGGCACTTCCGCATTGGCTTCATTTTCCAGACCCGGAGTCGACGTAGCAAATCCGCGGCTCTGGAGCCGCATGCGGCTCTTCAGCCCATCTGCAGTGGCTCCCTTTAGCTTTGAAAAAAATAAAAAATAAATAAATAATAATAATAATAATAATGTGAAAATAAATAACGGCTATTTTTTCTTTTCTTTTTTCTTTTAAAGAGAACATCTCATATTTTGGAGATCGAGGTGATACTGATAATATTTCGTCGACTAAAATGTACGTCGCATCTTACAACGTCTCCATAGCACCGTTTACAGCCTACCGCCTCTTCCTGCCGCTGATAGGTGGCTAATCTTGAGTTTCGGACCCCCGGTAAGATAATCATGAATAAATCCAAAAAAAGAAAAGTCTCGGAGGAAAATAGAGAGTTTGATTCTGAATGTCTCGACGGTTGAATGCTGTATTTGGCTGAGGATAAATACAGAAGAAGATGATTGCACACTGAACTGGACTTGAGTTATAATTAAATACAAACGCCTGTTCTTATTTTTACTCTTCTTAAAACTATTAGGCTGCAGGTATATGTTTTATTTATTTCAAAGTGGGTTACTTTTTATTTTTTTAATCCTTCACAAATAAGAGAAAGACTCAGATAAGCCTGCATAGTTATGTGTTTCATTTAAAAGTAGGCGTACACATGCCAGTGTTTTTTTCTCTTATTCATAAGAGTTTGGTGTTTTCCTTTGTTATAACAGGTAAAAACAGCAATAAAATGTCAACAGTTTTTTTGTAGTTCTATAATTTCATAAATGCAATAAACTATAGTTCTTTTATATATAGTATAACTATATATAAAACTTTAACGCTGTGTTATCTTCATTTTAAAGGTCGAATAGGTTTTGCGGCTTCAGATGATTTGTATTTGAGGGAGAGGCCAAAAATAGCTATTTTAACAGTAAAGGTTGCAGACCCCTGTGTGGCAGTGACGCGGCAGCGCCCTCTATCGGCCACATGCAGCTAGTGCTGAAGGTGACGTTCACGTGCAGTTCAGAATGTTAGGAATAAATAAAACGTACCACAGTACTAAACTCAAGAAGTAAGTTAATTTACCTCCAAATTGACTTGGTGTTATCACTAAGACGGAATGTCAGCACATATCCTTACTAATATATTATTGCTATGATCATGACGGTAAGAAACTTGGTAATGATCAACTAATGCTGATAGCTAATTGGAAACTATCCGATGGAAACAGTTAACTCACAAAACATGATTTAAGGTTGATTTGAAATTCAGGAGTGAAGATGTTTTTGATTCAGATGGTTTAACTTATAAGATAAACGTGCAAATCCCTCCCCAGTTGCTATATCTCCTGGTGGTACCTGAACGCAGCATTTTGAACAATTAATTTGCCAGCAGCAGCGGTTCAGCCAGGCAGCAGCGGTTCAGCAAGGCAGCAGCTTCAGAAAACGGACTACAGCTCAAAATGCCCGTAGATTTAAGCCAGTGGGGCGGCTCTCTTGCCCTGCAGGAGGTCGAGGAAAAGCCAGCACAGCCTCTGAAAATTAAATACGACTCTGTGGAAATCGACGAACTCGGCAAAGTGCTCACGCCAACACAGGTTAGTCAGCTAAATATTGTTGGCTAGCCAAGCTAACAACTCAGCTAATTTAGCGTCGTTTCTGAACGTTAGCTTAAAAGCTACGTTAAGAGCACCGTGCTAACATGAATTTCTTTAATTAAACACTGCTTTGTTACTGTTTAATGTGAAAATAGTCTGACTTGCGCATTTGCCAACGATGAATTGGGTTACATAATGCCTCCAGCATGTCTACATGTAAAAGAAGGTGGATAGCGACCCCAAATGGACGACATTAAGTTGACACGCCTGTCTCCAACTTCCTAACTTGTGTTGACCTGCAGGTGCAGAATCGACCCACCTGCGTCGAGTGGGAAGGATGTGACTCCAGTAAGATGTACACTCTGGCCCTGACCGACCCTGACGCTCCCAGCCGGAAAGACCCAAAATTCAGGTGAGATGAAAAGGAAATGCGCAAACTTACTTATAATGGGTAAAAGATGGTAGCAACATTGCAGCATACAGCTATTTCTGTTACACAGGAAGTAATTAAATTGTGTCATTAAAATGCTAATAATGGTTGGATATGAATGGAAGTCCTGCTTTTCTTTTGACAAGAGAAATGCCAATGAAGGGAACTTGCATTGTCTGTGCATTGTGTATGTTCACTGCTTTTTCAGGTACCTGTCAAGCACACAATAGAGAATACATAGCAGTATTCAAATCAAAGTGCCTCGCTTTGTGTCAACAGGTTTTTTTGTTTTTAAATGATAGAAACATTCAACATGTAAGCATCAAAATCAACCAATCCTAGATCCTGATTCAGGGTTCCTTCATGACAGAGCTTCAAGATGGAGTAATAATCCAGCACATGACTCAAGGTGGACAGTGAGTCTGCAACTTTTGGGATGCTGAAGGTCTGGGGCAGTTGCCCACATTTCAGTCTCAGTGCTTATCATGATTGGTTCATTGCACTTTGTAACAGGTTTTTTCAATAAAAGGTTTTATGGGCTCATTTAGCAAACTGAATGACGATGCTAAAATCTTTGGTGCATCAACACAAAGTATTAGACTTTGGAGTGTATAGCTTTATTGTGTTTATCGTATCCCACAGTCCAAGACAATTAATTAATTAATTGGTGACTCTAAATGTTCCGCAGGTGTGAATGTGAGTGTGAATGGTTTGTCTGTCTTTACGTGCTACACCTGTGATTGATTTTCAACCTGTCCCAGGTGTATCCCACCTCCAATCTATATATATATTTTTTTAATGCTTTTCACTAAAGGGAGTGGCACCACTTCCTGGTGGTCAACATGAAAGGGAACGATGTGTCCTCTGGCTGCGTCATGTCGGACTACGTGGGTTCTGGTCCTCCTAAGGGCACAGGTAAGAGAAAGTGAAGCTTAGAGAAGGCACTAATAAAGGATAGAGGTGATTTTCACTTCAATGTGTTGTTGCACCAGCTCATTATTGGCTTTATTTGTGTCCATATTTTGCAAAATGTCCCATATTTGGGATTAAGTTAAAGACAAATAGTTTTCATCTGCACAATGAATGAAATGTCTAACCTGAAAGCCTTAAAGTTACTTACAATGAGCAACATATCATGTTTTAAGAGAAAGACAAGAACTCACTGAACGTCTTAAACAGTACATGTAGCCTGGCCTCAATAATTTATAGTTTTAAGAGGTTGTTTTCCAGCAGCAGGGTGTGATGTAATATTTAAAAAGTTGTCTTTGTCCCCTTCAGGTCTCCACAGGTATGTGTGGCTGGTGTACGAGCAGCCAGGCACCCTGTCCTGCTCTGAGACCGTCCTCACCAACTGCTCTGGAGACGGCCGTGGCAAGTTCAAGCTCCAGAGCTTCAGGCAGAAATACAAGCTGGGAGCCCCTGTGGCGGGAACCTGCTACCAGGCCGAGTGGGACGACTACGTTCCCAGACTGTACGAGCAGCTGGCTGGAAAATAAAAGACTCGACTCTAGACCGCTCACTATTAGGAATTCCCATGTAGGCTGGTGGTCTTGAGCAAACTCCCACTCATGCAACAGGCAAAAAAAACCCAACATTTACACAGCATTCTTTTTTCGTGTGTGCCACTGAATAGTATTTTCTTTTCCTGCTGCTGCCAACCCATGCTGGGACACAAATAACTCCTCAATAATGTCACCTACACCCATCTACAATAAATCTGTTCAACACTGAAAAGGTTGTTCTGTGTAGAAATGATTTCTGATGCTTAGAGACTCTCTCAACCACCTTTTGATCCTCAATAACATTTTGTTATTAATCTAATGTTATGAAATATTGTGACATATTACCATAAATGTGAGGAAATATTTGAAAAGTTTGTTCCATTAAGATCTATAATAATTAGTTAAGTGATGCAGAAGTAAGAGCACTGCAGACAGGAATTACCTCTGAACTTTACTCAGTTTTATCTAACGTCTTTAATAACCTTTGCTCTCTTGCTAAACACTGAGTTTTTAATTTGTGCACCGACCTTATCTTGCTTTAACCTGCAGTGTGAATTGATATTTGGTTTTCACTTTATTGTTTTACTATGTAGTAAATACAGTATGATAAAATCCACTGAAGAAAGAGACAGAGGCCTAAAACCAGTCAAACAATACAGTAGCTCCTAGTGGATTTCTGGCTCTACAAGCTGAAAACCTGCTACATCAGTAAAAGTGATATGTTGAAGACTTTATCGACCATGTTTTCAAGTCAAAGTGTGAGCTGTCAAAACACTGAACTTCCAAACTTGCAAATTTAAATCAGCAGCTTAACCGGTTTATGATCTTCAGGAGTTCATGTTGGACATATATCAACACATCCTTCGTTTGTGTGATGAGCACTTTATTTACAAATATAATTAAAAGCTCTGACAGATTCATGCTTTGTTTTAACCTGGAAAAAAAATTAAAGTGCATGCAATAATAAAGCATCATACTGGTCTGGTTTATAAGAAAATACACAGCTTGAGAGTTGTGTAAAGCCACAAAAGAAAAAAAAATTAAATGAAAATCCCATTGATAGATGACTGAATCTCAAATACTATCTGAGGAGGGGGGAGGAAAAAAGCGCCTTTAAAAATTCTTTTTTGATATGAGTGACAGTTAAAATACAATACGAAAATAAGTAAAAGCTCTCCATAAATCCTTCTATACACAAAGTACAAGTCCCCCCCGCCCCCCCTCCCCATGAAGCCCTTTGTGCTAGCTGGGAGCTGGAGTTCACGTGTCACATGTATTATTATTATTATTCACATTGGCTGCCAGTGCAGAGAAATCAGTACGATACACATATTGAGTACCATGATTCACCCTCCCCTCAGTAATCAAATCCACCTGAAGGAGTGACATTTATTATTAAGTGTACGTATGTACATCGTGATATTTGTCTCTCAAAGTATCAAATTATTCAAATTTGTCATAAAAATGTCCTGATGAATAAATACCAAAAAGTGTTGAGAGGAGCAGCGCGGACGCACGACTGTGGAAGGATCGGCTGAGAGCTTTATCGCGTTGAGAGATTTGTTTGTTTTTTTTGCACTGCTTGAGACCAAAAGACAAACTAATGAAAAAATTCATCACCTCTAAAAATGGATGGTTGTGGAGCCATTTCACTTGTCGAACTGCCCTCGTTTTTCTCTCCCTCCTTCTCTCGTCTTCCACTTTTAGTCACACCAAAAGTGTCATCATTGCACAAGAAACAACAAACACTGTGACTACAGTATGTTATCATTATTCTTACAAAAACATGACAACTACAGGAAGTTATCCAGCATATTTTTTTGTCATCTTGTGACACCACGGAAGGAAACGGGGGAGGGGGTCGGGGTTAGGCATGGTTTTTTTCTGAGGGGGGGGGGCGGGGCGGGGCATCTCCAAAATCTCGCCCAGTGACTCTGTCTGACCGGCCCAGAAAACACACTGGATCTGAGCCGTTTTTTTTAAATTTTTTTTATGTGGTTGTGTGTTTGAGTGAGGGCGTCAACAGCAGCGAACACCTGCACTGTCAGGTCAGGTAGAAGGAGAGGAGAGGGTGTTCTGAGGCAGACGGACGCCCGGGGACTATGAGAGACGGCAGCAGCAGCAGCCCCCTCATCTGTAGTCATCCTTGGGAAAGTCCAGGGTGCCCAGGTTGCCGAAGCCCAGCCGGATGCTCTCAATGTCGAAGCTGTCGATCTCCCGCTCCTGGCGATCCAGCAGGTGTTTGATCCGGTCGGTCCGCTCCTTCTGAAGGGAAACCAGCTCCTCTTCAATCTGTTATGGATATTCAGGGTTGAATTTTGTTATGAAAGATGTAGAGAGTGTCTGTAAAATGTACAGTCCAAATGCAAAATACACTGTTTTTTCCAAGTTTATAATGTTAATTTTTTTTTCAACTGTGCAAAAACAAATTCATTAACAGAAGAGAAAAAATCTGTGCAACAAATATTCTTGTCTGACATATTTTAGCCAGATGTCTTCCTCAAAGTTAAAACAGCAGAAAATCTGCAAGAGGAAGTAAACGCATGTTAATATTATGGATGCACAACCCAGCAGAGGATTGCAGCAGCATTATGCTATAATCTACTGTCATTGACATCACTGCAAAAGCCAAAGTTATTATTTTAAGGCATAGAGATGGTAAAGGCCCTGTGCACACACACAAGTGTTTGCAGTTGTTTTAGCTGACTAGATCTCTGCTCAAGGGGTATATTGATATATATCAATGTATTTGGTGATCACCATGTTACTGGTAATTTACCTATTTAGGCTTTCAGAATATTTCTCTCTTCCTGCATCACTAGCCAGGAGTTTTGCTTGGTTCCTAGAATTGATTGTTGTTTTGTGGGTATGTTTAAATGCTGTATACGCAGCTTGTCATGTGTTTAATGAAATGCCTAATAAAGGTGGCATGACCAAATAATTCTACTAATAAGAATGTTAAAAGTTTGAGGTGTCCTTGAACTTTAACCGTGTTAATATTCAAAAAATAAAAATCCTTTGTTGAAAGCAGTTTTGGAATACAACCTTGTTTTTCCAGATCTAATGTTTAATTTCTGTTTCTGGTATTTTCCAGAGGTGAACAAAAGCAAGAGAAATACCTTTTAGTATAATACAGTTCAATACAGTTCAATGCACCACAGTACAACCTGCAGCCTGAAAATGAACAATAGAGTTGAACCAACACCTCACTGACACAGTCACTGTAATCTCTACAAATGCCTTCTTCATTCCAGGGCCATTGTGTTGGTTTTCACTGCACTGCAGAGCAGTTCATCTTGTTTTGTTCACCCCGTGCTGTTGTTTTATATCCTCACTACATCACGATGGGTAACTGGATGCAAACTTTGATATGCACTGTGTTAAGTTGTGAAGGTGTAAGTGGGTTAAGTTTCATTAATCAGGTTGCGTTGTGTCTGCTGGATCTTTCAGCCCAACACCCACATGAACTCAACACTCACATCCACAGGTGCAGACAAAGCGCTGCATGGCGCAATACGGCAATCTGGCCAACTACTGAGCATGCACAGAAAACTCCAGACTCTGACCATGAACCGAACCAGAGGACAATAGTGCTTCTAAAACCATGACATCATCCCGGTCCCAGAGTGCAGGTCTGGACGCAGCCAGGAGATGGCGACACACCACCACAGCTCGCACACACTACACTGGACCCAGCAGAACTGGATCAGGGCGGCATTTCAAATGTCTCTTCCTTTGTTGTCGGAGTGCTGTCTACTAGACTGTGGCGATGACGTCGGTCACTTTGGAAGGAGGCGTACTCGGCCGTTCTAATCTGATCACATGTCATTGGTATACATGGCAGGTTGCCTGAATAGTCACATTAAAGCTGTGTCTCTATCAGCAGCGTTGGGGGACACAGATTGATGAAACTGAGTCAAATTTATGTAAAAACATGTAAAATTATTACTAAGTATGAAAGCTAGATGCCAGCTTGCTACACAGCTGCCGATGTTATAATGACTACAACTTAATAATTGATAACTACAAAATAAAAGCAATAAAAATGTCTGTTGATGAGTTTACATTGGAGTATGTGAATGAACAATTTAGACTGGACCTCTACAACAAGCTATAATTTTAAGCTAAACTGTATTAAGTGAGTGTTATTATAAATAGAAGACAACAGAAATGTCGTAATAAGAGCACAATACAGTTGTCTAGAGATTTCACCACCATTACCAGTGTGTGGGAGAGAAATGGTTGTCTGCTCCCTGCAGGAAGGCATGCCACTGTCATCACCACCTGTGGTGAGGGAAATCTGTGTGTGTGTCTGTGTGAACTCATGAATGTCTGTCTGGGTCGCCTTTCATGCCCGCGCTGCCCGCTGAGGTGGATGCAAATGTGTATCCGGACCTGTTCGCTTAAGCATCGAGGCATGCTCAAAAAAAAAAAAAAAAAAAAAAAAAAAAAAAAAAACAGCGCCGGACTGTTTGCATTTCAACTCATTACCGCCTGTTTGTATTGCACTTGCATGCTTCAGATCCTTAAAAGGCTTCTTCACATCCTGTATGTGATGCAGTGTTAGTCCAGTTGGAGCAGGATCTCAGAGGATATAACACAAATAAGGATTATTCTAAACTGTAAACAATGCATACATATTTGAAGTTTTTCTTTATGTGTGAATGGAATCACTGTGTCCTTTTTATTAGTTCTTTAAGGAGTTTGAAGTCATCTACGACCCTAAAGCGTTCAGCGTGTTTCAAACAGAGCAGTTTGTATGAAATGTTTCAACACACCTCAAGGTAAAAATGCTCATAGAGATGGATGAGACATGACGAATCATACAAACGGGGATAATGACACACACTTTCAGATGCTCTCTCCTCAGAGGCGTTCATGGTGTTGTATTTGGTTGTACACACATAATCTTTGAATTACAGTGGCCTCTAACTGCCTCAGCAGCGTCTTACATTTTTAAAAGAGACACGTTAGGTAACTATTCAACTATACAACATCTTAAAACACACTGTTACTCACTGGCCTTAAACTGTGCCTCAGCTAACTCTATATCTGTATTTCTTTTCTTTTGAAGCCTTGGGCTGCTTCCTGTCTCTCTCTGTGGCAGTCCTGTAAATTCTTGTTCTGAATTTGTGATTTCTAATTTTACATTTTTCTTTGCCCTCAGAAATGTCTTGAATTTCAAGTTGTTTTATGTGAAACACCACATCTAGGCCAGAGGATAAGTAGTTTTTACACCTGAGAGAGAATAAATTCTCTTTAGTTTTTTTTAAATCATGTAGCCATGACAATAAAGACTTTTTAATTTTTTGACTTTTTGGATAACGATCACTTCCTTGACTGTGTTTCATAAATGAAACAACTAAAACTATGTCCTACAGAGTAATTTTAAAATAAAATCTAACGTATGGCTCCTTTAAAATGACGAGTGTATCCGTCACCACACCTTTTGTTCCAGGTGAGCCCGGCGCAGCGACACCTTCTGCTCCAGCTTCTGCTGCTCACGCTCGTGCTGCGCCTCGGTCTGCATCTTGATCTTGCTTTGGTAGGCATTGAGCAGCTCCATCTCCTGCTGCAGCTGCTGCCTCAGGGCCTGGCACTCGGCTTCCTGGGCCTCATCCAGACGCAGCTGACACAGCCGACCGTGGACCGCAACAGGGGAGAGGGAGGTACAAAGAGACAGAGAGAGAGAGAGAGAGATTGGGGTGGGGTGGGGGGGAACATGGATAAGTCACAGAGTCAGAGAGGAGAAAGTGGGAATAGAGACAGAAAGGACAGAAAGGATGGGAGGGGAGGGGAAGAGGCAGTGAAGGGATGGAAGAAAATGGAAGGGCAACAGGGACAGACAGGACATGGACAGACAGTGGAAAAGGAGAGGAGGAAGAGGGGGTAGGGAGAGACATGAAGAGAGATTGCAAACGAGGGTGAGATAGAAAGGGGGAGGAAGAAGAAGAAAATAATATTAGACAAATGCAAGATATGAGAAGAGGACAAACAAGGAGAAAAATGGACAAGCATAAGCAACAGGTGGAGAGAAAGGCCTCATAATCTGCTTCGAAGATCTTTTATAAGAATAGCTCTTTTTTGTTGACAAAAAACTGATGAGGTGAACGTCTCTCCACTCACCGCCTGCGAGGCCATCATCTCGTTGATGCTCTGCTCATATTGCTCAGCCAGGATGGCCAGCTTGCGTGTCTGCTCATCCTTCAGGGCCTTGAGCACCGTCTTGTGCTCGGCCTTGGGCGTAACTTCCATCTGGTGGTGGCGCAGGGCCTTGTACTGCTTGGTCTGCACCTTACATGTGTCCTGGAACTGCTTCTTGATCTGCAGTTCCAAAGCCTGGTGGAGACAGACAGAAAAATCAATAAGAGAAGAGCGTGGAGTGTTATAGTTAAAGACTGGATCAGGTTTAAAAATCTACTGTTCCACTCTGTTTTTAAAGTCCAACCTTCAGAATCCTGCAGCTGAAGGTTAAAGGTTTTACACAGCCAGAGGCGAAAACCACAGTTCTACTCTCTGTTATCCTCAAAAGCAAATTAAAAATGAAGTGACATTCAGAGATGACACATTTTGTATGTTCTTTCACCATTCTTTCCAGATTAATTTGTTACATCCACGTTGCATCACTGCATTATCAAAAACTACATAAAACAGAAAGGATGTTACTCAAGGCTTGCGCCATCTTAAGAGGTGAATCCAATTTGTCTTTTCAAAGACACAAGAAAAATTTTAAAAATGAATCCGGAAACAAAAGCATTTAAAAAAAAAAGTTCAGGTTTCTTAGCGTCAGCGATGCATTTCAAGCATCTGTGTTCCTACGACAACAACCACCACGTCTATAAAACACATCTCTGTGTCGACTCACCTTGAGGTTCTTGGGCTGCTGCCGGAGCTCCAGCACGTGCTTGCGGTGGAGTTCGCGCTCACGTCGGTTGTTGTACTCGATCTGGTTCTCCAGCTCCGTCTGGTGCTGCAGGCGGATCAGGTCCATCCGCAGCTTCTGCAGCGTCTTCAGCTGCCTCTGCTCCAGCTCCTGCGTGGACTCGTCGTGGCGGATCAGCATGGCGTGCTCCATCTCTTTCTGGGTTTTCTTCTTGTTGAGCTCCTGGGAGAAACGTGAGGGGAAAGATGGAAGAGGAGGGGGAAAAAGAAGGGGAAGGACGCATGGATGACTTGCAGTAGGTGCAATTCATTACTCATTCATATTTTCACTTGTAGAAAACAATTTTCTTCTTTGTTTTTTTAAGCCCAGAACATGTTTGCTATTATTAACATCTGAAAAATGAATAAATATCACTGATTAAATCTACATTAATTTCAGATTTAAACACCTCCTTTTTCTGTTTACCAAAACATTACAACTATCATCTATAACATGACTCCGAGTTTTGAGTATTTTCCCATGGAAATCTTTTGGACCTCCTAAAACTTCCTCCAGATTTGCACAACAGCTTTTCAGATTATGACATTGCTGCCTTGCTTTACTTTGTAATAATCTTCTTATAGTTAATAGGAAACACCTCACAGATCTACTGAACAATGGCTCGAGTTATTAAGGACACACTGCTGTTTGCTGAGAAAAAACATTTTGGTTATCCAATCACATTGGACCTGTTCACACCAACTTCACAAACAATGACAACTAATAAACAGGGATTTAACTTCAATTCAAACTCAAACTGGACATATGAACTTGAGTTGTATATTTAACAATTACAAAAACAACCAAATCAATTTATAACTTATGACTTATTGAATCACAGGATGTACGTCCTCCACACCTCTCGGATCTGTTCCTGCTCCAAGTCGTGCCTCTTACTCATCACTTTGCGCTTGAAGGCGCGGCAGTTCCTGTCATAGAAAACCCTCTGCTGGGCCAGGAGATGGGCCTCCTCCTCGGCCTGGGAATGCTGCATGTTCTCCTTGTGCTTGGACAGGCGCTCCTGCTTCTCCTTCTTGGGTGTGCTGTGGTCCTCGTTCATCTCCTGAGTCGGGGTGAAAGTTCACAGCAGAGGAATTGTGAGAGGCGTTTGTTTTTACAAGTACAGGACAATGGATGGTCAGTTTTATTAAAGGCCGTCAGTTAACGTGAACTGTGACGGGTAGATTTTTGACATTTTGGCTGGGTAATTTATCTGTTGTTTAAGCTTTATTTGTCCATATAAGTTTGGGCTGTCCATCATGGGCAGTGGGTGAGGAACTATCCAGTTTGAGGGATTAGTCTAAATCAGTGGATATGTGTGTATTGTATTATATGTGCATGTTTCTGACTGTGGAAGAAAGAGTCTCTACACAAGCCCACATTATCAAGTGTTCATAGAGCATACGCCAAACTCCATCTGACCTTCTGTCTTGAACTACAGCTGACTTTCAGAGCCAGGAAGGGTTGGAAAAAAAAAGGATAATTTCAGCCAAATCTATCCCTCCTCAGTATGAGTTCTCATTCTCTTTCATGGGCTTTAAGGTAATCTACAACTCGCGCTAATGCACTTAACACACGAGTCTGATCCCCGCTCTCAGTGGTGTCTAATTCCGTTATAGCCCTCAGTTGGTGGGAAATATCTCTCCCTGCCAGCGACGCTTTCTTTTAACTGCGCTGACCTAATTTTGGTCACTTATCTTGTAACTGAAAACACAGTGTATCACACTCCCAGCCCACAGGAGTATTCTCTGGACTCAGTTTCAAGGTTGTGGAGGCACATAAATGCTACACTGTGCGTATGGATTTGTGGGTTTCCTCGTTTGTGTGTATATACATGTGTAGGTACATAGTGAGTAGGCTGAGTGACTCAACACAACTTCCAAAAAGACCACTTTGGAGGTACTGAATGTGCATGTTTGTGTGGAGGAGGGCTGATTCAACAGTAAACAGCATACAGGACCGTGTGTCACACACAAGAGAGGCGTACAAAGGAGCTCGCCCGAGGAGGAAAAAGGAAAGCAACAACATGGCACACCTCCTTTATCTTCTCCTTGCAGAGTTTGTACTGCTTCTTTTGATTATCCAGAAAGGTGGTCAGTTCCTTCTTCTGCTGGGCCACGATCTGCTGCTGGAACTTCTTCTCATCCGCCAACGCTGTCTTCATCTGGGGGGGGGGGGCGCACATGAATCGGGAGGAAAACAGGGGCGAGGAGTTGTTAGCATGGAGTTCTTCATTCTGAATACAGGCTACAAGCTCAGTGCTGAACTGTGAACAAATACTAATTTGTATGATACCACCTAAAAGCTACAGTAGATCAAGAGTTATGATCGTAAACAATTCATTTTAGTTTTCTTTCTCTGGTCCCAGCCTCTGCAGTGAGAGGATTTGCAGTTTTATATCATTGTAAACAGAATATCTTTGGGTTTGTGACTGCAAGTCGGACAAAAGAAGACATTTGAGGACGGTCCCTTGAGCTCACAGAAATCCTCAAAGCCTTTTTTTTCTAAGTATTTCATCATTTTAAACAATTTAGAAATGATTAATCAAGAAAATAATCTAGAGATTAATCCCTAATGAAAATAATAATTAATTGTAGCCCTTATTCTCATGTTAGCGCTCACATGTTTGTCCTGTTAAATTACAACGTGACCAGTTAAAGGTTTTGGGATGTCACTGGTTCTGTCAATTTATAGACGTTCAGTGAAAAATGACTTTGCATAAAAATATCAAAACATGGCAGATTTACTTGCTACAGAAACCTATTTCCATGTCAATGATAAACACTACTGTAAGAAAACACATGGTAACCGGTTGGTTTAGCCGAGTCACCCACATCTCACATGTGACAGTGTGTGTTTATGTTGCTGTTTAGGGGAACATGCTGGTTTATATGTACAGATATACTATCTCCCTGGCTGCTACAGCACGCTGTGTGCTAATCACAGAGATATGCAGCTTGTTTTTCAGAGCGTGACATTCTGTGACCCACTTCTGCCCTTGTGTTTCATCATATGTATCATTGGGTGGCAGCAGTGTGTCAAGTCTTAACTAAACTTTCCTTAGTGGTCAGTGTAAGTCTGAAGTTGGAGCTTCATGGTTCAAACAATAACATTTTTCCTCCAGCAACTACATGATCAAAATAACTTCAACATCATTTCCTCCACTGTTTTTCCAAAGCAAACCTTATCCTCTAGCCAATTGTTGCATGGTACATGTAGGCCGCTGTGATCATCTGTGAAATAACTTAGGGGTTACTGTACTTATGCATCCGCTCATGCTTTCCACTCATGCCCTATAACCCAACCCCCCCCCCCAAACCCCCCCAACAAATCCCACCTCCTTCTCGGTTTGCACGGCATGGCGTTTTGCCAGCTTCTCCAGCTCGATGTAGGCGTTGTTGGCCTGCGTCTCCACCTCCTTCTGAAGCTTGAGCCGGTGCTCGTCCATCTCGGCCTTCAGCTTGTTCTCCAGGGCAATCAGCTGCTTCTGATGCTGCCGCCGCATGCGCTTGTAGCCCGACATCTGCTCCCGCAGCTCGCTCTCCTGCTCATGCTCATGGATCTGCTTGGTCACCTGTGGAGAAAGAGAAGTTTAGAGATGTGAGCGCTGCAATATCTGATTTTTTTCATCAGACTGAAAAACACATTATTTAAGATAGAAAAGAGATAAAAGGGTTTCAAAACATGTCATGCAACCAAGCAGCAACACTTAACCTGTCACCTGTCCTTTGTAAATATGCAGTAACGATTCATCCCAGGCTATCTTTCCAAAGAAGAGCTAAAAACAGAATTCTTTCAATACTGTGAGGTATTACAGTTCAGCTGCTGCAATCAGTCTGCAACTTAAAAAGTTAAAAGGTTTCAACCAGTGATGGGAAATTAAGACTTAAGAAAGAAATACAGTCAAATCCCTTTAGATGAAGTTACCCCTCGACCCCAACAAAAGCTCTTTCATTTGACCATCGCACATACATAGTCACTGCACAGATCAGGAAACCAAACAGGATCTGAAAAGTGTTTAAGCCAAATGGAAAAAAAAAGAAAAACTATACCAAACAGAAAAATTATACAGAAACTACAAACTATACAGAAAAATTAAAACAGCCACATAATATTTAATTGAAGACTACATTGAATTTCTTAACAGAAATATCACATTTTTTTAAGCAAAACCAACACCTGACACACGAACCTGAGTACAGAAAGGGTTCTCCACATCTAGGTAGTACTCGCTCCGCATCTTCTCATAACTTCCACCTGAACTCCTCAGGCCAAACATGATGGCTACTTTAGCCAAGTGCACCAGCATCCAGGAACCTTGTGCAGCATCCTATGCCCGACAGAACCCTGTCTGAGCGCCGATGCCACCCTGAGACCCCCGTCTTACTGGAAGAGGACCCCCCCTCTCCCTATCTCCTTGGTTCGCGCCCTGGGCACGCAGCGGTCGAGGCAGGCGTGTGAACTATGAATGAGGCAGGCCAACTCTGCGGGCCAACAAGAGCACAGAGCGGCTCTTTAGTTGGGCTAACGCTAAGCGGCGGACAGCAGGTGGGTCACATGAATACCTCATTGAGAAAGAGTGAGAGAAGTTGGAAGGGGGGGGGGGTAGGTCAGAGAGGAGCAGGCAGAGAGATGAGGGGAGGGGGGTGATTGCAAAGGAGAAACAGCAGATGGAGAGTGACAGGGAGAGAGTTAGAAGGGGAAAAATTGAAATAATGAAAAGTAAAGTAAGAGCATCTAGAAGGAGAAGGGGGGTGAGGGGGTGTTGGCATGGAAATAGATGGAGGTTGAGCTCCCCTCCTCTTTAATCTGTGTTGAATCAATACCCCTACTGTAATAGCAGCTCCCAATCCTAGTCACTTGCTTTGCTGCCACCCTGCATGCTGCCACAAAGGGCCAAGTCACGTCATGTGATGGCCTCTTTCACACAAGGCTCAGGGACTGGAAAGGAGATCATATTCACAGAGCGGAGGGGCGGGGGGGTTGAGGGGAGGGGTAGGGATAGGCGTTAGGCATTTAGTTGTGATGGTTAAGGTTAGGGTAAGGGACGGGGGAATGCATTATGTCCATGAGAGTCCTCAGAAGGATAGAAGTACAAACAT